TCTCTCTAACTCTATGCAGGCCTTCTTTCATGAAAATGGGATTTTGCATCAAACCTCATGTGTGAATACACCCCAACAAAACGGAGTGGTGGAAAGAAAGCATAGGCATATTCTAAATGTTGCTCAAGCTTTGCGATTTCAAGCCAACTTACCTATTTCCTTTTGGGGAGAATGTGTTCTCACAGCTGCCTACCTTATCAATTATACACCCACACCATTACTTGATGGTAAAGCTCCGTATGAACTTCTCTTTGGTAAGGCACCTTTATATAACCACCTAAAAGTTTTTGGTTGCTTATGTTATGCAAAAGATCACTCCTTGCCTACAAGTAAGTTTTCTCCTCGATCTAAAAAATGTATCTTTATTGGATACCCTAATGGTAAGAAAGGATATCGTATTTTTGATATTGAAACTAAAGAAATATTTGTTTCTCGTGATGTTATTTTCTATGAAAACATTTTCCCATTTCAGGACACTAATTCAATTTGCCATGATGAATTAAGAAAATCCATGCCTTTACAATATTTTGATGATGATGATCCACCAGAAGTTGATCAACCCACCATCATACGACCCAAACAAGCTTGCCCAAGGAATGTTGATAGTGCTAACTCAAGCGTCCATGCTTGCAATGCTACATATGAAGAGGGAGACGCAAACCCAACAATTACTAGAACTTCTGATGCAAGCCATGGTGATGTGGCCAATCCCATTAATTCCGATTCAAGGCCACAACGCGAGAGAAGGAAGCCAACCTATCTCATAGACTACATCTTAAATGGGGTTCAAACAAATACCAACACTTCTTTGACCTCAAGTACGTCGTATTCTATTTCTCATTTTATTGCATATGATAAATTTAGTCCTACTCACCGTTCTTTTCTAGCGGCCATCTCCACTAAAGATGAGCCAAAATCCTTTTCTGAGGCTATCCAAGATCCCAAATGGAGACAAGCAATGAAAGCCGAAATTGATGCTCTCGAGAAAAATAATACTTGGACTTTGGAGACGCTTCCTCCTGACAAAAGACTTATAGGTTGCAAATGGGTTTATAAAATCAAATATAATGCTGATGGGAAAATTGAAAGATATAAGGCACGCCTTGTCACAAAGGGATTTACCCAAGTTGAAGGCATAGATTACCATGATACCTTTGCCCCTGTTGCCAAGCTAGTTACTGTTCGATGCTTACCAGCTATCGCCACTGCTCGTAATTGGGAGTTAAATCAATTGGATGTTCATAATGCCTTTCTCCATGGAGATCTTAATGAAGAAATTTATATGCAACTACCTCCAGGCTACGGGAATAAAGGAGAACAACGTGTTTGTCGCCTAAGGAAGTCCTTATATGGACTCAAGCAAGCATCAAGAAATTGGTTTGCCAAATTTGCTTAAACTTTAAAACTTTTTGGTTTTCAACAATCTATGAGTGATTATTCACTTTTCACTTATCGGTGAGAGAATAATTTCCTCGCCGTACTAGTTTATGTTGATGATTTGATTATTGCAGGTAATAATTCATCTCTTTGTCAGAAATTGAAAGAATTTCTCCATATAATGTTTCACATCAAAGATCTTGGCAAGCTCAAATACTTCCTAGGTATTGAAGTGGCTCGGCATCCCTCTGGAATTTTCCTTTGTCAACGAAAATATACACTTGACATCCTTACTGAAGCTGGAATGCTTGGAACCAAGCCATGCCTTTTTCCTATGAAGCAAAAGCTGAAACTCACTCCTAGTACTGGTTCCCCTCTATCTGATCCTATGCAATACAGGAGACTGGTTGGAAAGATAATATATTTGACTATAACTCGCCCTGAAATTTCATTCGCTGTCCATACTCTTAGTCAATTTATGCAAGCTCCTCGACAACCTCATCTAGATGCAACAATGCGGGTTTTGCGATACTTGAAATCCTCACCTAGACAAGGGATTTTCCTCTCTTCATCAAGTTCTTTACAACTTTCAGCCTATTGTGATTCTGATTGGGCTAGTTGCCCCACAACAAGGAGATCTACAACTGGCTACCTCACTTTGCTTGGCAACTCACCTATATCGTGGAAAACCAAAAAACAATCCACAGTCTCAAGATCATCAGCAGAAGCTGAATATAGAGCTATGGCTTCCACTATTAGTGAACTCCTATGGCTCAAAGGCTTGCTCAAGATATTAGGAGTTGATACTTCTCAACCAATGCAATTGCATTGTGACAATCAAGCAGCTATTCACATAGCCACAAATCCAGTCTTTCATGAACGCACAAAACACATTGAACTTGATTGTCATTTTATTCGTCATTGGATTCAAGTTGGTCTTATTAAGACTTCTCATGTTCGCTCCAACCTACAAGTGGCTGATATATTTACAAAGGCATTGGGAGGTGATCAATTTCAATTTCTTCCCCACAAGTTGGGCATTACAAATTTACATGCACCAACTTGAAGGGGGGGTGTTAGAGATATTCACTAGCATAAAATCTCAATCACAGCACAAAATCAATCACTAGCTGTTAGCTAGC